TGCCTGCAGTTATATAGGAAGGGCTGGATGGAGATGTCGTCAATGAAATACACATGCTTTCTATAATTTACAGCCTCACTGTCTGTATGGTTCAGGCTAGTGACTCAGCCCTACGCTGGCCTGTGCTGAAGAGGTCTGGGTGTGTCCTGTGCCCTCAAGTTGCTTCCCATTAACATCTTACCATCAAGAGCCTTGCTGAGTTCTTGCAGACTGAGGACCATGGCTTTCCTCAGCTGAGTCAATCCATCTCCCATTGGGTTTTCCTCTCTTTTCCTCTTTTTCTGCCGCCTTCCACTTTTCCTAGCATTATCGTCTTTGACCCTTTATGCACGGACATCCTACTACAGATTTCCAGAGCAGTAAGCCTTTAATCTTGACTTTGGATTCTGTGCCCACCTTACACACCATTCTTTTTCCTCCAGTGTATCTATTCTGCAGCTACAATTTTTAAAGCGCACTTTTCTAAATCGGGGTGGGATGTCACTTGTGATGTGTGGGGGGTGATGTCCAAAGTTTGTTTGTTTTTTTTTCAATTTAGGCAGTTGCCCTATCGCAACTGTGCAGTAGCATCCAGCAAGTGCCTTCCATTTAAATCCTTGTGGTTGAGGTTTTGTGTGTGCATCTTAGCCTTAGTTTGTTGAATGAAAGGGAACAGAAAGGAAAGCAGAAACTGACAAGGAGCTGTGAAGTCTTGTTTTCCATATTGCCGAGCACTCAGGGATTCTCTACTGTGTTATCAGCCACTGTGAAAAATCGGAAAGAGTCACATGATCTCATAATATGGGGAAACATGTTGAGTGTACAGAATGCATGGTAGAACCCACTGACACTGGCATTGAAAGCTGTGATCATTTGTAACTTGTGTGTGTCTGTGTGTGTGTGTGTGTGTGTGCACGCGCCTGTGCAAAGTTGGCTGTAATTCCACCACACTTTGCACAGGGCTGAAATTTGCATGGGGGAGGAGTCCTCTGGCAGAAGCTCTGGAGAACTTTTTTAGTCTTGTGCCACTAAATTTAAAAAATGCACCACAGCCTACATCTCCCACATCAAATCACCCCAAAAACACTACGAGTGATCTTGAGCATATCCTGGATCATGATACTTCTCTCTCGCCAGCCTTGAGTGGCTGGCCTTTCCTTGCCTACATAGCCCTCCCATCTCAAAGACCGACAAAAAGGGGCTATGCAGCAGCGATGTCGGCACAGTTGTCAGACCGGCAACAAGTCCAGATGCTGTCTGGGTCTGACTAACGTCAGCCGTACCAGCTCATCCAATGTGTTGTTCTGCATTGCACAAGCTCGTCAGTCACCACACAAGTTTTGATTATCACTGTTTTATCATTTTTAAATGTTAGTTTACATATAAAATAAATGAATCAAAAAGAATAAGTGGGCACAAATTGAATATAGCAGTGGTCAGAGTCAAAGACTTCTGGGAGAGCGTTCTCTCTCCTAGGACACTCTTGGTGCTCTGTAAGGCCGTCGTTCTTCCACACAGGAACCCAGTGTGAAATGGCTGAATTAGAATCAGTCAGTAGACTTAGTGGTTAGAAATAACATTTATGTTATGCTTAACACAGTTAGGCTGCTGTTAATGGTTGTTGTGCTCCTGTTGATTAAAAACTGGTTAAACAACAGGAAGCGGAGAAAGAGGTGGGAGGTGAGCGGTGGAGGGGCGTGTCCCACAATGACCGGCGCTTGGGCCAGGGCTAGTCTGTTCCTTGGCACTGGGGGTCACAAGCAGTGCAGTAGCCAGGTTTGCAAACGACACTAAATTATTCAGGATGGTGAAAACCAAACTAGGGCTGCGATCGTACGTACAAAAGCCGCATCAAAGGTGTGATTCCCACGCGGAGTAAAGGGGCGCAATCAGACAGAAACATCTGTCCGGCGTCCTGGAGTCATTGGCGGGGTGTCTCGTTGTGCCGCAGGAGTGTGGGAAAAAGCCACCAGGGAAATGCTACTAGTGTCCGGGACTGCGGGGCACGTGGGCAGAAGTCTGATCGCGCAAACGCGCGTCATTTCGGCCTGGGGCAAACAGCCTCGCTTCCTGCCCACATTTTCTCATTTGTGTGACCGCAGCCTAGGTTGTGAAGAGCTACAGGAGGATCTATCCAAACTGTGGTCATGGACAGCAACATGACAAAAGTTTAGTGCTGGTAAGTGCGAGAAATGAGGCACATTGGAACAATCAATCAATTATATTTATTTGCAGGCTTTTCAGTAATACAGTTGTTAAAATTATAGTACTTTTACTTATAATGCAGACTGCATTTTTAATACTTGGTTTAAGTTAGAGACTTCTAAGATCTTTGGTAAGGGAGGGGCTGTGGCTCAGTGGCAGATCATCTGCTTGGCATGCAGAAGGTCCCGGGTTCAATCCCCGCTGGCATCTCCAGTTAAAAGATGCAGGCAGGAGGTGATGGGAAGGACCTCTGCCTGAGACCCTGGAGAGCCGCTGCCAGTCTGAGCAGGCAAAGCTGACTTTGATGGACCAGATATTCAGTATAAGGCAGTTTCATGTGTTCATGTGTTCATATTTTATGTTTTTATTATGTTATATTTTGTAAACGTCCTCAGGTAGGTTCCCTGGAGAAGTGGCACAAAATTTTTCAAAATATATAATACATGATTGGTTAGCAGAGTTCTTTTGGCCACCATGATCTCATCTCAGTGGCTACAGTAAGAAAAATAGCCACACTTTGGTAATCCGTACATTTTCCCCAGCAAGGAAAAGGAAGACA